AGCTAGCTAGCTAGCTTGGGGTTAGTTTGACCTTTGCTTACTTTACCTGAGTGGGCGATACAGATGCCCTCCTTGGCTGCCATGTCTTTAAATGCTTCCATCCCACTTTCACCATAGTTGCCTGGAAAAGTCATAGAAAAAGAACAAATGACAAGGTTTTATTTAAGGGCTAAAATTACATTATCAATAGCAGAAAGCTTGTCTACTTTTACTTCTTAAAACCACTGGAATTGTAAAGTTATCCGTTCATTTGCAGTCTCTAACAGCTTTTCTTCCCGAAGTTCTCCATGTTTCACTCCCATGATGTTCCCCTGAACACTGAGCTTGCCCGTTCATGTCAAAGAACCGACCACCGAAAACATGACGCTGCCACCACTGTGTTTGACTTTTTTGAAGTTTTTGTTTGAGGTCATATGCAGTGTTAGTTTTCTACCATGCACAGTGTTCGCATTCAAGGCAAATACAAAAAAACAAACATTTATAGTTTTCTTTATACTGTTTTTCCTGAAACTAATTTATATATGTATTAATTGTACAGTGCGTGGTGCAATGAGTAGCACTGCTGCCTTGCAACAAGAAGGTTTTTCTGCATGGAGCAAGCCCAGGGTCTTTCTGCATGGAGTTTGCATGTTCTCCTTGTGCATTTGTGGGTTCTCTATTGGTATTCCGGCTTCCTACAACGCTCCTAAAATATGACTCTTAGGTCAATTGGCTTCTCTAAATTCTCCTTAGGTGTGAGTATGTGTGAATGTTTTTTTTGTCCTGTTTGTCTCTGTGTTGCCCTGCGATGGACTGGGGAACTGTCCAGGGTATTCCCCACTTCTCGCCCATAGACAGCTGGAGATGGGCACCAGCACCCCTCGCGACCTCAGCTGGGATAAAGCCTGACGGAAAAGACTGTATGGAACAGTTTAAGAGCTAACCTAGACTTCTCTAATTAATGCTTTCCTAGTGCAGTTTCTGATGACAGATAACCTTTAGTAGTTTTGCAGTGTTGTCATACTTTTTCCATTTTAAGATAACCAATTGAAAAGTGCTTAGTGAGATGTTAAAAACCTGGCATAGTTCTCATAACCTAACTCAGTTTTAAACTTCTCCACAACTTCCAAAACAACCTGTCTGCTGTGCTCCTTGTTATTTATGCTGTTTGTTTACTAATGTTCTCTAGCAAACTCAAAAAGACTTAATGAATGATCTAGATTTTAGACTGAGATGAAGTTACACACGGCTGAACTCTGGTTTACTAATTCGAAGTTCATATAAAATCAATATCGATCCAGATGGTTACACTTGAATTTTTATGAGGGGTATCAGAGTAAAGAGGCTTGAATGCAAATGTAGATCACATTTTTCCCATTAGAATTTTTGCAAATATACAGTACAGAGAAATACTTTTAGTTCATCAGTTACATAAAACACCTTAACTAAATAGAAATGTGTGGTTTTAAAATAATGTAGAAACATTCAACAGGGAATGAAGACTTTTGCACTGGCAGGATACAGTATACTGACTGCAGCAGCTTGCCTTCTTCTAGAACCTTAGCAGCTTGGTTTTATGCCAGTGAAAGCATATCCCCACCGTTGCTCCCCCTTCTTTGCCAGAGAAAGTGGGTGACCTGAAATTTATGCTAATGAAGGGTTGTGCACACTACTGGCAATGGATGTGATAGGATTCCCCTCTCCGGGTTCTTATTCTCACAATTTTGGTGCTCCTCCATTCCTTTAGACATTTCAACAAAACATCAAAGCTCTTCAATCTATGTTTGCTTTCAAATCTCTGACCTGTTTATTGCTTATGATTGAACACCAAAGAGTCTCTCAACAGGTGCAACCGATATGTGTGCTGCAGAGCTGATATATATATATATATATATATATATATATATATATATATATTTTTTTTTTTTTTTTTTTTTTTTTTGGACATAGAGGCAACTGATTAAACAATAGGGATGAAACGGGAGACTTGGATTATAAACTAAAAAAAAAGCCACAGAGAGAAGTCAGGGGAAGAGTGGGAAATTAAACAGACAATAGCTCCCGATCCCTAACCGACGTACAGCTCACTGTGTGTGTAGTTAGACCGATGATGAGGGTGGTGGAGTGAAGTGTAAAGTCCTGTAATTAGTGTCTCAGTGAGAGGAGTGGGAGACAGATGGTACAGACCATCCTTCCAATGGTCCTTTCAGACATACACACACATTCATACTGGCATAATTATCCCAATCTATAAAGCTTGTAACCTACTTCACTCCGGAGTCAGGATTTATGTGAAAGACCTCATTCTCTATCTGTTAGTAAGCTTGGCGCGGCTCTCTTCATTTTTCAAAGACAATGGCTGGCGGGGTCATAAACATTGCTAGCAGACCGTCCTAACAAAACACTGAACACACACATATCCAGTCATTAGTCTGAGATAGGTCAGAACCAGACGGAAGACAGCTTGGGCCAGACGGTCTCATCTTTCAAACTATTACATCAATAATTTACATCATTTACAGGCTTCTCTACAGAAAACCCACTTTTTCCTCAATCCATGGATTTCTCTTAACACTAACATACATCTATCTATTCATACAATCAATTTGCAGCATTTGATGCCAAACATTTACTCTCAATTCTCTAAATTCTTCTTTTTTTTTTTGCACCTAATGTCATTTCAGTTTGATGTGTAAAAGCTTGTGAAAAAAAAACACACTAAATGTTCTACAAACAAGTGTGAAAAATAACCTCATGCAGAGGATCAGTATCCCTTTGCAGACAATTGGTTCTTTGTTTTATCACATTATACTTCAAATGAAAAAAATACTGAGATCACACAATCCCTGCTTTACACTAAGACTTTCCTTCCCTCACTGAGATGCCTTCATTTCATTCCTAGTTTAAAGTTTTTCTTATTGATTAGGCAAGGTTCAGAGAAGAACTATAATAAACACACTTTAGAAAATGTAAAAGAGCGACAATCCACAGAACATATTTCATGCTTCCAAAAACATGACATCTGGTTGTTGTAGATCACATTAGGTGCACAAAATCCATTAACTACTGAGTGTAAGGTTTGAGTCAAACTCCAAATCTCCAAAAACACAAGAAAAATAAATTCATGGCAGTTTTTCTCATGCGTCCTTCCTGCTTCTTTAATCGCTGTGAACTTATGTCATATTTTCTGGTCTAGCCCAATATTCTAAACTGCAATCTAAATCACAACACACAAAGAAATGCTGAAAGTTCTTCCAGCTCTCCGGTAAAGCACCCCCCTCCCCTTACATGCAGTTTCTGCCGAACCTACTTGCTGTAGAAGCAAAAATGAATGCGGTCGATTTAAAATAGAGACAGTCCAGTCTGGTTTTCTATGCCTTCAGTTCCTGTTTTTCATTCGACTCACCATGATCCATCTTCAATTTTACACAGCAATGCATTTATTTGCTCTCTTTCCCCCATTCATTCTCATTTATTCTCATTCATTTTCATTCATTTTCTTTGCTCACTCCAGTCGGGATCAGAGAGGACATACTTCATCTTTCTTTTTACCTTTGTCTCCAAGAGTGAAGTGCAAATAAATTAGAATATTAGCAAAACTTCATTAATATTTTTCACTTAAGCTATAGAAGGTCAAAGCTAAAGAAGAGTTGTTAAAAAAAAGTGCTATATGCGGAAACGTGGCTGGAAAGTTGAGCATAAGGAAAAAGGGTGTTTATAAATGGTAAATGAGTAACAGGGACCCTAATTTGGAGAGGGTTATGAAGTGAAAGGTTTTTCTGGACCATAATATCACATTTGAATTAACAATTTAAAGGTCTGGTAGTTTAAAATCGTTTTTTCTTTAGAAGTTTTCCACCGTCTGTGATGATTTGGTTGTCGGTCCAAAGATAAGCTTTTTTTTTTTCCTTAAATAAGGTCCAAAGTCAATGCAACCATGTATCAGAACCTAAGAAGGCATTTCATGGTTTACTCTGCTGACAAGCCCTATAGAGATACTAATTTCATTTTCCAATCTTACTTGATACTTCCTAATCTTTTCACAGTTCTACATTTTAAATGAATACAGAACTGGACAGCCTCTTATGATGATCTTTTCTAATACCAGAAAATCCATCTATGAGAACCAAAATTTGACAATATTACAGAGGCAGTTGTGATTCAAATACAAATGTGCCCCAAATTAAGCCAATATTTTACAAAATTCAGAAATGTAAAAATTCACGATTGTGATATTTCAATTAAAAGCCATTAAAGATGACTTTTTTCAGAAAGTAATTGTCCAGATTCATCTTAAATTACTCAATTGAAGGCTGGCATTCTTGCACTCATTGCCCCCCCCACACACACACACACAAAAACAAAATATAAATCCATAAGCTCTGGCCGTGGTGGTGCCTACAAAACACTTTTTTGCAGGGTTTTTTTGACGCTTTTTAAATACTCTCACAGGATACATTACTTCCTTTATAAATATCTCAGCAGGTTGTTATTTTCTTCAACATTCATTATATCCTTCCCTCTTTGTCCTTCCCTACCAATCATGCATGATCTGGACATACAGAACATGTAGGGTTAAGGAACGAAAAAAAAAACAAAAAAACAATTCAAGGACAAAGGAAACAGAAAAGGGGATAAAACCAGGAGAAGAGGCAGAGAAGAGATCATCGGACCCAAATCAAAGGACTCCTTATCAAAAAATATAAAACTGAAATGGGAAAAAAGTGTAAAAGACAAGGCAAATAGACAAGAAGAAAGGCAAAGGTGTACAGAAACCGAGCATCTTGATTAACTGAGAGATTGATCAGGGGCATTTAGAGCGAGGATGGGTGACACATGTCAAATTTCAGGTCAATGAACTCAATTGAGCAGAACTGAACAGAGCTAAGTAGAAAAACAGAGTCTTGGCACAGAGATGGAAATAGGAGAGACGATACGGGGGGGGGATTTGTATGGAATTTTAGTGTTTTATTAGTTAACTAATATGTACCGTATATGAATTACTAAATAATTAATATGATGATTATGAATCGATTACTCTGTTGATTATTTTTTCAATTAATAATCTGTGAGCTAAAGGCATGTTTTATAGTCTCTATCTCCAGTTAACGATGAATCCATTATTAAATTTGTTGATGATAA